GTATAGATAATGGATGGATCTCATGAGCGAACCCCATGGCTGAGCGTTTCCATCTTAAAGCTACAGTGTGCAGGTGACAGTTTAAAAACAGACTTTTGGGGCTTCATGTGTAACCAATGTAAGCAACCGATTCCGTCACCGAGGAGGGACTTTCTGTATCATTATTCTTCTTCAGAATCATTTCTTTTAGTCGTATAGTTTAGTAGTTTAGTCGTATTAGCGTATTTGAGCAGAGTCGTAAGTGAGCTGGAGTGCTCGGGATGATAAAGAGGCAGGAACTCTGCACTTTCTAACTGTAGCAATCGTGTAAGGTTACGTTCAAACCATTTTAAAGAAGGATGGGATTACTTTCATGCAATTTAAAATAAATAAATAAATGTAACTGACACCAAGGAATGAGTTGTGTGGGTTTAGATCAAAGAACATAAAGGTTAGAAGTTGATTTTGTCACGTAAGCTGACCTTCAGACTACCCTTTGTTATTCTTTATTGGTAAAGCTCGGCTTAAATTATTGTTGTTGTAGATATAGATGCTAATGATAGGATAAGGATGCTCTTATTGTCTGTTCTGCTTCTTCATTAACAATGTTGTTAGCATTAGCCTGCTAGCTGAGCTCTACACTCAAAAGTCAAGCTAGCATCCATGTTGCCTGATAGGAATAGATCCCTCTTTTTTTTTTTTTGTAATTGACTGCATTCCACGGTGGTGAGCCAGTTCCAGGCTCCTGGTGGCGTTCCTGCTAGCGTTCCTGCTGGTTTACTGGCATTGCTTACTGGGACACTCGATATAACGGCGCCATCATTAATGAAATTAGCTTCACTTGTGCTCTCCCTGCTATGACAAGTCAACCTGATGTGGTCAGATAAGTGTTGTGCAAGTGTGATGTGGTCATTTTTATTTTATGGTGTTATGAAAACACTGCTGCTGGTTCAAATAAGCTGAAATATGAAAAGACTGCCTCATGCTTGTGTCCTGTGGCAGGAAAAGCCTCTGTGTTCTGAGCTCTTAATGCACTCAGGCCTCTGTGGCTGACCTGCAGGTTTGTGAAATGGGTGAGAGTGTGTCAGACATCCAAACTACTGGAGGCTTTTATTACCTCTTGCTTAAATATTTCAAGTAACGCAGTCCTGCAGCGAAACACTGTCACAGGTTTGGGGAGATTATAGATGCCATCAAGGTTTTATTAGGTCCTGTCCCGGTAAACGTCAGGGAACAGTCGCTTCTGCTCACCTCATAAACACTTTCTGCATTTGTGGCCTCAGAGGCCTACAGCTGAAGGACAGAAGACAAACCAGCAGCTTGGTGTCAAAGCAGGGCAGCTTTCGGTGGTATTAAGCAGTTTCTCACTGTCACCAAACGGAAACATGAACAGTGTCAACAAGAAGCACATTGTTAGAGCTGTGAACAAGAGAAGAATTTTTTAAGGGCGACCTCTAATGTAATGACACCAAATTTGATGGTGGGAAGCCTGAAATTATTTTCATAAATATGAATTTAAATGAAACAGTTGAAGTGCAAATGTGAGAAACACAAAAGCAGACACCAGTCGATGACATACTAAGATAAGAATGTGCATGTTTTTCACGCTTTTGTCGTTTTTTTTGCCATTTTAGTCAGTTTGTGTGCACTGCATTCAACTTGTCTGTACTAGTTTCATTTCATTTTACAAGTTTGTATATATTTTTTTAACTCATCAAGCATTTCGAATAAGAGCTTTATACATAAACTTGCTTGCTTCTTAGTAATTCCAAAACTTACTCATATCTGGAGATTCCCCCGGTCGGAGGGAAATGCCTGCTGTCGTGCTTTGTGGTTTTTGTGGAGACAGTGTGACGAAACTCATTCTTAGTTTGACTACAAGTTTAAGACTTTCCGACATTTTGTGCTCTTTCAGGCAGCGGTGGATTATACTAGATGTACCAGCCTGTGTGTTGATAAGGTTATGTTAGGTCATTCCTTTCTGGAAAACAACTCAAAACGTTAACCGCAAGCACAGTATAACCCACGTCATATAGAAAAGTTTGTTATAAATTTCCTGACTCCTTTTCCAGTAACTATCAGAAAACTAAACAGAATAATTCCTCGGCAGATATGGTGTGGAATTAATTATGTTAGTCTTCTGCTGTTGTGCACTCAGTTGGCACGAGATTCCTAAACGTTTAATTAGTGTCAGTGGGTTTACTGAGAGGGTGAGAATCATAACACAGATTGCCAAAAACAGTGTTTCGTCCAGCCATCCAGTCGGGTCTCCTGTGGCGTCTTTATGTTGCAGGACCGACATGACGCAGACGGAACATACTTTGCTCCTGAAGTACATGATACGGGGCGACGAAAATGGGAATTTGGGAGGAACAATTTCTTGGAAAGCACGCTTTGGTCAATTCCAGTAAGTTGCCGTGGCACGGGGCCGACTCACTTCGAACCCTCTCCCCATCCCCCGTCCCCTTTTTTCTCGACCCACTGACTTGTCTGCACAGGAAATAGTTGCTGTTTTTAGTCGACATGACTAAAGAATGAGAGTGATTGTACAGTGCATTTACGGCCCTCAGAGGACCAGACATCACAGACGGCACTTTTTCTCGGAATCAAAGAAGTCAGTCAATGAAATGAAGAATTTGCAGCCACGATGTCTGGTCTGATAGACATCTCATGTTGTATCAGTTACTTAAAGTAGCCCAATTTTGAACTTGAACAGTATTTTTTACACTATTCTAAGCTGCAACACCTTTAGTCGCCTGATTTCAGTAACACACAGCTCTCAAGATGGCAATGTCGGACTGTTGGTTGGTTTAAAACAGTTTTACATATATGTGTTTGTGTGTATATATATATATATACATGAAAAACAACTGGATGGATTGCCTCTAAATTCTATACAGACATTTACGATCACCAGAGCATGAGCATCAATGTTTTTTTATGCTTCTCTACTGCCACCAACAGGGTGAAACAAGGCCTGGCCTATTATCCATCCATTATCTATACACCGCTTAATCCTCACTAGGGTTGCGGGGCGGCTGGACCCTATCCCAGCTGACTCAGGGTGAAGGCAGGAGACACCCTGGACAGGTCACCAGTCTATCACAGGGCCACACTTAGAGACAGACAACCAAACACACTCACATTCACACCTACAGACAATTTAGAATCACCAATTAACCTCAACATGTTTTTGGATCTTGTGGGAGGAAGCCGGAGAACCTGGAGAGAACCCACGCTGCACGGGGAGAACATGCAAACTCCACACAGAAAGATCCTGGATGTCCTCATTGGGACGTGAACCGGTGACCTTCTAGCTACGGTGCTAACCACCGAACAACCTTGCAACCCCCCCGGCCTATCATG